CATTGATGACCATTTTCATCTCATCTTCCATGTTATTGAGGCGGACATTTTCTTCTGCCATTTTTTGTAGCTACCTGCGAAAACGCGTATATGAATGAGTATAATGCCCAATAAAGAATCATTCTATGACTTAGTCATATTATTATTGCATATTTTCTTTATTTGCAAAGAAAAAATAAGCAAAAAGGGTTTTTATTAATATTAACATTACAGGCGGCGTCCCCGGGGTTCGAACCCCGGTCGCCTCGGACCGTTACTGCTCATCCCCGGATACCACTAGGTCGAAGGCCGCGGTGGTGTCATTAAGGGCCAAAAAATTTCATTTAAAGCATAAAAAAATGGCCCGAGTTATATTAACATTTGTACAACCTAAAAACATTTTTACAGGAGATAACCAAAATCCTCGAACATAATTACTAGGAAATATAAAAGACAGAGGCTTTTAACAAAAGGGTGCCCTTCCCGAATACTCATTTTATAAACGATGGGGAAATCACGGTCTCTCGGAGGCGCTTATTTTTACGGACAAGCTCCGCAATAAGCGTATCCCTGGTATATAGACTGCAATCAACGGGTGGCCTAACAGTAACAAATCAATTGAATAAGTAGACCGTATATATAAAAAATGAGAAGGGATAGAATATATATACCTTTCCTTGAACCATGGCAATCGCAACAACATGCACATGAGGAGTGAGGTTCGATTTCTATCTAGACTGGCTCAGCAAAATGAAATTAAAAGGGTGCCTGACCGTCGCAGTCTCGCGTTGGTGTCAAGTCCTTTTAACCTCGGCCAAATCGAAAGGAATATCTTATAGTCACGCGAATAGCGGCTAAAGATACTTCTTTACGATTTTTTAGAAATAAATTTCGGGGAAAAGAAAGGCAACCTCTACATCGCGGGCTCGCGTTCGAGGTCGTATCTTTCTTAACACCATCCTAACATGCCCTATCGCGGCCCAGGTCCGGCAGCGTGGTTGTGTGTGCAACGGTGTAGTGCTAAATCATTAAAGCATACACAACAAATTATAAATAATCAATTCGAACCTGCAAGAACAAATAACACCTTAATGTCAGTATCGTACCTGGAGTCCTTGCTGCCAAACAAAAATCATTTTGAACAAGACAAAATTTTTTGGCCTAAGTCCACTTTAAAAAAATGCAAGTCCCCAGTGGAGTCGCCAGTCTGTCGCGACCGAACTCCCGAGCCCTTTTTGATTGAACATGCAAAAAGAAGGGGGGCTCGCCTGGTACGTGCTAAGTCTAGGTTCGGGACTTAACTCGGGCTCTCCCAAGCCCATACCATATCGCGACTTAGGGTTTAAGTTTTTAACATGCAAGTGGTTTATATCGAGGAGTCGCCACTAATCGATTTGGGGTGGGTCGATTAGGAACCCAAATAGGGTGACGGGAGAATCACCCTATTCCTACGAACCAGAGATTAAATGAGTTCGGGGACTTGGTTACACTAGTTGGATAACTAATGCCCTTTCGGTACCATTTTACCCTGTTCATTTCTGAAAACATTTGTCAGGCAATTTGAATTGATTTTAGGACCTTTCTCCTAACATGTGAGGTGATCAAGCGAGTGCATAATCAGAAACGATTAGCAGTCAGGAACACAACCATTCATGCAGCCTAAGGTTCTAACCTTAACTAAGTCAGATGACATTCAAAACACAACAGCTCATGCAATTGTATTAAAAACATGCATAACAATACAACGATAATAAAAACTATCATGCAAAATACTACCGCGCAATCCTAAGCTTATCTAATTTAAACATGGTAAATTATGCATAATAATACTATAATAAATAAAACATTTAGAATATATCAAACAAATTTTTTTTAAAAAAATTTTAAATTTTTTTTTTCGAAAAAAAAAAAAATAATAATAATAATACAGAAGAAAAGAAAAAGAAAAAAAATTAATTTTTTTTAAAATTTTTAAAATTTTTTTTTAAATAAAATAAAATAATAATATAATATTAACCGGATCGGGTCGGAACCGACCCGGGTCAACGGATCCGACCCGGTCGTTGACCCGGGTCAGATCGGTCAATCCGGATCGGGTCGGAAGCGACCCGGGTCAACGGATCCGACCCGGTCGTTGACCCGGGTCGAATCGGTCAATCCGGATCGGGTCGGAACCGACCCGGGTCAACGGATCCGACCCGGGCGTTGACCCGGGTCGGATCTGTTAATCCGGGTCGGTCGGAACCGACCCGAGTCAACGGATCCGACCCGGGCGTTGACCCGGGTCGGATCTGTTGATTCGGGTCGAATCCGACCCGAACATACAGACCCGCGGGGAGGGGGGGCGCCGGAGAGGCCAAAATTGGCCGTCCGCCGGCTGACCCAGGCCAGCGCCGCCCCCAAATCGCCCGACTAGGACCGCCTGTGGGTTGTGCCACTCACCTGAGCCGCCGTTCGCCGGCCGGCGACGAGACAAAAACCGGCCTCATTGAGGCATTTTGTCGAACACTGGGCGTGCGCAGCAAAAAACGAAGGATTTCGACCTCTCCCGGCGACCCGGCCGGCTCCGGCGACTGTGGTTTGTCTTCAACAGCGAGTGGGGGCCGGGAACAACGTCGGTATGGGCCGGGATTCGCGCGAAACGGCCGTCGCGAGTCCCGGCCAAACCGAGCCAAAAATCAGGGGAAAACAGGGGAGCTTCGCGGCCGAGGGGGGCTCACCGGTCGACGGCGCGTCTGGGCGGCTTCCGGCTAGTCTGACGGCGTCGACGACCGTTGCTGGTTCTTCTTTAGCTCCGGCGAATTCTCGGCTCCCTCTCTCTCTCTCTATTCTCTCTGTGTTCTCTCTCTCTCGGTTTCTCTCTCTGCTTCCCAAAACGGCCGACCCACTCTCTCTCTCTGTGTCGCCGCCGTCGTCTCGGCGGCGGGGATGGGTGGATGAGGCGCGGTGGCTGCCGGAGGCTCCCTGTCTCTCCCGGCTCACGCTCTCACGCTCTCTCTGTATTTTTTCTCCAAAAATGGCCGACCCCCTCTCTCTCTCTCTTTCTGTCTTTCATAGCCGACGACGACGAGTCTGGGCCCGGCCGCGTCGGCGTGACGATGGCCTGCACCGGCCTACGCCACCCCACGACTTTCGTGGCTATGGCAGGCCGGTGCAGAGCAGGGGGGCTGCTCAATGTGCCGAGACGGAGAGGAGAAGGAGAGAGAGAGAGAGAAAAAGAGAGACCAGGAAACGGGGGAGAAGGGATCGGCCTTAATGGCCGGCCCCACGTGGCGTCTTTGCCCGGTCCCTGCTCCCGGCCGGATGGGGACGGGGCGGCGCGCGCTCGGCCGCTCGTCGCCCTGCCGGCAGAGGAAAACAGGGGAAGGAGAGCGACCGCTTGGCGAGGGGGAAGAAGAAAGGAAGGGACTGGGCCGGGCCAGGCCCAGTCCGCGCGGGGAGGAGGAGAAAAAAGAAAAAGAGAGCTGGGCCGGCCTTGGCCCGGCCCGATCCGATTTTTTTTTTTTTTAAATAATAATTTTTTTTTTAAGTTTTTGAAAATTAATTAAGAAAATATGCTCTAATAGACCCTATTAATGCAAATATGCCTAATGTCTATATGCAATGCATTTAAATAGAAATTTTTTTGTTTTAGGAATTAAAGAAAATTAATTCCTAAATTTTGTGCAATTAATTTTGGGCAAATTAAAAATAGGTGTCAACAGCTATAAACCAAAACAGATAGCCTTTCGCAAATCAATTCTTTCCACACAACCAATCCAATCGTTTTCACGGTACCAAATATGTACACTTTCACAATAGAATACCTTTCATAAATCATATTCACAAATCGGTACATACAACTTTTTTGCAGTCCCTTTCGTAAGGCATTTCTCAAACCATTTCAAAATAATCAACTCATAAATCGTTTTGGAAAATGCTCCCCATGCCATTTCAAATAATCAAAGGGTAGTAAATGCCCGATCCAGATTTTATGCATTAAATATGCTATACACAACACTTTCCTTTTAACCAAATGAACTTTGCACATAATATGTCTAATCCTTTTCATTTTAAAAATATGAGTTTAGAAATTCAAAAAAGAGATAGCACCTACTTGAAGGTTACTCGATCCGTCGAACTCATAATCCTATCAAATAAGCAAAAACAACGTCAAAATCGAGTAAAATGCTACCTCAACTATGAATCGGCTAAACTAAGCTTAATCACTAACAAAAAAAACTCATACGTGCTAACAAAACTCTCGTCCAAAGCATATTTTCGAAGCTATCCCTAATGCAAAGCTTGAGCGCAGAACTTTAGAATTTCGCTCCAACTAAACCGTTACTCCAAATTGATTTTCATCAAGGCCATGAGTCCACAACGCCCTAATCTATCATATTTATGAAATTCCACAGCTTAACAACTCCAAAATCGGGTCTCGCAATTCAAAGTTCACATAATTTTGAATTTGTGCCAAAAACTACTCCGATTAGACGAACAGTGGACGTAAATCCTCACCGGACGTTACGAAACGAAGTTTGCTACTGTCCATCTGGAAGACGAAAAAGACTAAAGGAGGACTTTCCTGCTCCCCTGTTCTTTTTCAGCTTATTATTCAAACTTGAAGAAAAAGTTACAGGAACTGCACAGAGAGTATTGCCAAAAGGACACTTAACAAGACATCAACTTCACAGAGAAATTCTAGACTATGCTTTCACATGAGAAATATGGTATCAAGTTTGACAACAAAAATAAATGCATGATCTCATACCAATTCCACAGTGAAGGACACGTCAACACCTGCAAATTCATATTAAGATAATCCCGAAGCAAACAGACCTTCCGAGCTGTTGTGCATCCGTGCATGCATAGAAAATATCCTACTAGACAGCTAGCAACTCAGAGCCCCTCACTATCTCTATGCTTACATCATATATCCATATGAACGTGCAACTACAGACTGCGTATTCAAGCCATTTAATTTGATTGACACTGAGCCCTGGAAAGATGAATTGGATAGAGAAAATGCATATGAAAATTCATCTTCCTTCAGCGGTAGTAATGGTGATGGTATTCCTGGACCGGATAATTTTGTCTGGTGATTGAACTTCGTGGCTCGGCGAGCGTTCAAATAAAAATATTGGTTGCTTTGGCTGTGGAATATCAGACTCCCCACTTAGCATCAGAACCACGGCCGACATGTTGGGTCTATCTGTGGCATGGTCCTGCACACAGAGAAGCCCTAACTGAATGCATCTCATCACTTCTAATGGCGAAAATGCATCAGCAATGGCTTCATCCATTAGCTCCAATCCTCTGCCTTCACACCACAAGTGCCATACCTGTAACAACTGGTCAATTGTTAGATTGTCCCAAGGATTACCGATGGTTGAAAACTGAATGAAGATATTAGTTTGAGTTAGATCTCACACTTACATAAGCAAGGAGATTGAGATGCTGTCCATGGTAACCTAAACTTGTGTTCTTCTTGCTGCTGATAAGCTCCAATATCAGTACTCCAAAGCTATAAACATCAGATTTCTCAGAAAATATCCCACCCATGGCATACTCGGGAGACATGTAGCCGCTGTATGACTTGGACATGTTATATTCTTGTACTAGGATGCCATCATCATAATAAAGGTATAAAAACTTATACAAGTGGAAGGTTCACGAAATGCAGTTCAAACAAAAAACCATAGACTCAAGGACGATGACATGAGAGGTCACCAAATCGACAAGTACTGCTTTTCTAATACCTTTTAGCATTTGTATTATAGAACTGGTCTATAATTACCTCAGAACGAACTGACTTATTGGAACCAATGGATGTACATGGAAGAGTTTTCTCAGTCATATTAAAGGACAATAGTCGGAACATGCATGAAGGGTAAGGTGAGCCCACTAAACTGCTAATCTGCTGTCTAGGTTACAAATTGCCTCATGAGTAAGAACTCCTAAGACTGATGATAGAAAGCTTACAGTGTCCCCACAACTTTGTGAGTATTTACCAAAACTTGAGTGCCTTCGAACATCCGTGCCAGCCCAAAATCTGAAATCTTGGGATTCATCTTTTCATCCAAGAGAATGTTACTCACTTTCAAATCTCGATGTATGACCCTGAGGCAAGAATCACGGTGGAGGTAGAGCAGCCCTCTTGCAACTCCCTGGATAATGTGGAAGCGTACGCCCCAGCTTAGTTTTGCCTTCTCTTTTGAATCTAAACAAGGTAGCAAACAGAAACAGTATTGAGTTTCAGTTCCGTATTTTGTTGAAAGCTGGAAATAAGTTCTTCAGAGAGTGAGACAAACCGAAAAGAAAGGCATCCAAGCTCTTGTTCGGCAAGTACTCATACACTAGTATCTTTTCTTCACCTTCAGTGCAGTAACCGACAAGTCTCACCAGATTTCGGTGTTGAAGTTTGGATATTAGAAGGATCTCATTCTTGAACTCTGCTATGCCTTGGCCTGAGCTGCTCGAAAGTCTTTTCACAGCTATCTCCTTACCATCGTTCAGCTTTCCCTGTTTTCAAATGAACATAACTATCAGATCTTGGATGATCTCTGTATTTCCCTTGGAGAAGGCTTTTTATTTACCTTATACACAGGGCCAAACCCTCCTTGCCCGAGTTTGTTTTTCACGTCAAAGTTGTCTGTCGCAAGGAGTATGCTATCAAAATCATAAACCGTTAATTCCAATGCATCACCTTGCTTCATTTGCTCTTTCCATGCACTTTCCCTTAGCAATTCCACTGATCTGTTGGCTGTGGCCACTGACTTAAGGACCCTTGGGATTGTCATTTCCTTAAATTTCCCTGATTTTCACAAACAGAATGAAAACAACTGATAATAAGTATGAGAACATGAGAAGCAACAGTGTTTCTATTGTAGTAATTGCCAAGCTTCTGAAGCCATGGTTTTACCAATCATACATGATTCTTTTGTCATGGTAACATAAAATCACACTTAACCCAGCAATAAACTGCACATCTTTTATTACCTGTCCACTTGGAGAGACCATAGACTGAAATGCCAGCTCCTAATAACATGATGACAGAAATAGTACTTAGGCTGATGATGAGTTTTGTCTGCTCAGGTACACCTGAACTGGGAAAATATATTATAAGAACCACGGGCAGTGCAAGATTAAACACATATTAATTCAAACTTTCCAACCTTTATCCGCATCCACAAGCCGAATAAATAGATCTTTGCCTTCTGTGGAGAATTGCTGAGTATCTATGATATTTTTACACCAAGCCATACATCCTATAGTATCCACATAAGAAAAGGCCAAGCACGAACAGTTTCCTAGGCACCAACTTTGACATCCTTCTGCATCAGCTATGTTTGACAAATAATCTGCAGAATCAGGTAATTTCATATGTTTCATTTGCCAGAACACATCTTTTTCCACAGACATCGAAGCTGTTGCGCTTGCGGATTTCTGACAATTCAATTCCATTATCCTAATGCACCCTCCGGTCCAGTTTCCTCTATTCCATTCTTCATCTGACCTGGGTTTAAACCCTTTTAAGCATCTGCATATAGGTGAACTAAATGTGTCGCAAACTCCAAAAGGGCCACATGTTCCATAAATTTCACAATGGTTAGCTGGTGCTGGTGCTTCCCAGTTTGTTGACCATCCATCACCCCAACGAACAAACTTTATAGATCCTTCTGATGAGATGAAAACATATCCAAAGAAGGAGTTGTCATAATTATTGATGGAATAATATGACGTTCCCTGGTCGATATTTTGCACTAGCTCATAGCCACTCAGGTATGTGTCCCTCATGGTCGGTATTCCAATGAACTTGGATTTATCCCACTGTCCGCTTCTCCAGTATGGACTTGATCCAATCCAAGCGAAAACCTGAGGTGGTATCTCCGATGTCACTCCGAGGACAAAGCTTCCGGAAGATGGATTATCTTCACCTTTCCAGGAAATCAAATATTTTTTCTTTCCTGTTTTAACGTTTACTCCAATCTTCATGTTTGGCAGGAGAGTGTCGGTTGGCTCATCGAAGCTTTCCCATATTTCATTCGCGTTCCCATCTTGAAGAACAAGGTTTCCAAAGTCTGAAAGCACTGCTGCAGAATAATTCGACTTTGCCAGGACATTAGTAGACCAAACAGTGTTTTGTTGCCCATCAAGAAGCTTCAGATTTCCATCTCCGCTAATTATTAAACTCGCAGATTGATCTTTGTGTCCAAGTGGCTTGTCCCTGTTGGCCACCCAGACAACTCTGGAGGGAGTCATGTTCTTGTACCATATTCCTACGTACTGCTTGGCTGATCCATGTGGTGTGAAAAACCCGAGCTCGAAGATTTGACTACGAGAGACAAGGGTTTGGTTCTGAATGAGTGACCTTGATGCAGTTATATTGTAAATTGTGCTGCTTTCAAGAGCTTGAAACAGGGAGAAGACGAGCAAAGAATACACAAGTACACAGTCATAAGAACAATGATGAACAAATTCAAGAAGCATTTGTGAAAAATGCCCTGGGAAATTTCACCTGTTGTAGGCAGGTAAAAAAGGACAAAAACGGGATTACTGTGAATCAAGGCCTGTGAACCAAGCCTATAGTGTTTAGATCCTCTGTTCAAGTGCATTCACTGAATGCCAGTATTTCATTGGGATATTGGTATTTTATGACCAAAGAGTTTCGTTTGGGAAAAGTAAAATGTTTTGAGACAGAGCTGTAGCTCTCACCAGCGATCATTTTTAAAAGTATAGCCTCCACGACCCGCTAAGGTTGGGCTTTTCTGCTACACTTTTTCCCACGTTGACGCGGTTTCGCAGGTAATATTTGGATCTTTCTGAAGCAATAGAAGTATTTGTCGTTTCTTTTCCTTTTTCCTTATAAATGACGAGGATATCGAGACACTCAGGATTTAGGAGATTGAATTCATCTGCTGAACTTGAATGCATCCACTGTTCTTGTTGTATACAAGAATAGGGTGATGACTGGCAATATGGCACTTGATATTCGTCCTAAGCCGAAAAACCTAAAACCCATGATGATATTTTTGCAAGTATATACAAGTTTGTGATATTTTAGATTTCGCTACAGAAAATTGCTCAGGACTTACAGAAAGGAAACCATCGCACTCCCCCGTTGCTTTTACTTTCTGTCTGCTTTGACTTTGTTGGTATGCTTCAGGTTTTTTCTTCTCCTGAAGTTGGTTCTTCTATATTCAAATTGCTTCTAATTTGGGTTGGGTTGGGTTGACCATTGATCACTTATAATTTTTGCGCTAATTGCGTTTGAGTGAAGTAAAGTTACCTCAGAGTTAAATGTTCATTCAGGTTACTTTGACAACCGCCCTTCTTTCTTTCGAATTTTCATTTAGGGAAAATGAAACAATGATCCACAAATTTGGTTCAATATGCAATGTCTTCCCTAAACTTTTAATTTATTCAACGTGATCTTTTAACTTTGATCCAATGTTCAATGTGGTTTATAAACTTTTAAACAGTTTCGTATAGTCTTTGGATTACATTGAACATTTACCAATAGTTCAAAAATCACATTAAACAAATTAAAAGTTTTGGGATGAAGTTGCACATTAAGCTAAAATTCAGGGATTACATTACATAAATTAAAAGTTCAAAATGACATTATATATTGAACCAAAGTTCAGGGACCATTTGTTCTACTATCCCTTTCATTTGACTTGTAGAATGTTACAGGCTTGCAGCAACAAGAGGTGTGAAATCTTCAATCCGATGTCGCTTAATTACGCATTGTTGGACTTGATCGGCCTCGATAAGGCACTAATCAAGAGGGTAAAGCCCATCTTGCCACATTTGACCTTGGTTGATTTTTGGATGATTGCACATTAATGTTCTTTGTCCATGATTATCGTTCTATGTTTATTATCCTATAGTTTAGCTTCTAATGCAACTGCTAGAAGCTTAGTTTGGGGAAAGACCAAAATTTGGTCTTGTTTTAATAGGGTTGGGTGCCACTTTTGGGGGAAGAGAGGGGAAGAGGCCAACTTGGTTGGTTTCTAGTTTGGTTCCCCTAGTTAGTCCCTAACTAAGTACTTGAGCCTATTTCTAGTAGTCATGATTACCCAAGAGTGAGACTTGATGGAGATATTTCAAGATGGCTTCTTGTCCATGAATTTGCTTGGTTTGGAGCAAATTAACGAGCTAGGCTAGGCTTAGTGGTTAAGCCATTAATGTACTTGCATTATTGGAGTCTTCTTTCAAAATCACTTAAGGAGAAGCCTTCCTCATTTCTCTCATTTCTCTCATTTCTCACTCTCACTCACTCTCATTTCTCTCTTTCTCTCCCTCCCTCTCTCCCTTCGCGCCACCATCACCGCCAACCACCACCGCCACCATTCGCTACCGCTTGCCGCCGTGTACCGCGCCGTCCACCGAGCCATTCGCCGTGCCGACCACAGCCATTCGCCACCATCTTCACTATCCGCTCATCACCACCCATCGTTGAGCCCCCTCACTGTCACCTCACCGCTGCCGCGCCGTCCGTTCGTCACTGCTGCCGTGTCGTCCGCTCAACACCATCGTCATTATTTCGCCGTCGCCTTTAGTCCGTCTTGTCTGTAGCAACCAGTTTCGTAAGTAGTTCTTTTAATCCGTGAATAGGACGTTATTCTATACACGTTGGACTTAGGTTTAGTCTTGTTTGAGCTTGTTCTATCGTGTGTGTGGCTATCTTTGGCTAGAAATGGTTTTGGATGGATTATGTGGTTATAGAAGGTTAATTGGAACCATCGTTGGGTGATGCTATGCTTGTCTTGCGTTATCTTGCTTGTTCTAGGAAGAGGAAGCCCATGTATTAATTTTGTATGGTTTGCTCATGAAATGCTTCCCATTTTAGTGCATCATTATGTGTGCGAGATTTTGGATGTTCTAATCGTGTGAGCATGAAATACTCTTGCATTAGCCTAAGTGAAAGACAATAATTGGCTTGAGTGCTTGATATGCTTGCGTGATCACATAAATGGTTCCGTACCCGTATGATTGCGGAGGACGATGCTCGATGGGTTTCCGATGCCAAATGAATTTCAGTTGCTGTTCACGATAAAGGTCGGAATGATGCTCTTAATTGAATGCCGTTTTCGAGTGAGGTCGAGACATTGCCGTGCCTAATGGGGCGGGACGACACCCGATTACGCCAGATGACCACCGATGCAAGTGTTGGTCATGACCTTGAGTGGTTGTAATAATCAGAACATGTGTAGATGCATTGTGTATGGTTATGTGATATGAAGTGTTCTTTATTACTATGTGCAATTGTTGCATGCCAATGGAAGCAAGGCTTCGCGTGTGATTGTTTGTGTGAATTGTATGTGCCGACGGGAGGTAAGTATTCACGTATGACTATTTGATTGCGTTTTGGCATGCCAAGAGGTTGAGCCTACCGTTCGTATTTCCGTGGCGAGGTATCATCTTACTCGAGGTTTGGAGATTCTACTTGTTGAGTTTTACTCATGTGTTGTTGCTTAATCATTTTCAAGCCCCTAGTATGGACACTCGGATTATATGTTTTGGCGTCCCGGTAGATCAAGACGTAGAGGTGGTTGAGTATGTAGCACTAGGGACGAATACGACGTACGAGGAGTATACAACGACCGTTTGGGTCGACGAGGGGCTTACCAACTTGGCTCCTCATCATTTTAAAGCATGGTATGTTTGTTTGGAGGGAGAGCATTGGGGACCTCTCCAAGGCTTTGACGGACCCCAAGGTGTGCCGGACGCAATCCCATGGGACCCTGTGACGTCAAATGTCCTCGATGGTGTCATCAGTTATCCGAAGTCGGATCCAGATTACGACCTCGAACTCGAGCCATAGCATGCTCGAACGTGGAGGAAGCCATGTTCTTTTTTAGGCAGCCCTCGTAAATAGGGGAGCTAAGTAGACCCCGACCCCCTCTTCTTTTTCTGTTGTAATAAAAAAAGGGCCCGTGTAGTGGGCTTATATTTATCCTTACTTCCGATATGGGTCGTTAATGCATATATATGAAGCATGCTTTTGTGAACGTGTTTCCCTTGCTATCCCTATTGTTGTTGTATGGTTGTTGTTGTTGGTTGGGTGATTTGGATTTCGCTTTCACATATGCTTATTTGTTAGATAATACGATAGGTCAGTGACGCCTCCTGCGACGTCGCGATTAAATGACCTAAGAAGGGAAGTCCCGTGCCGGATCCTTGGTGGATAGAACAGGGGCGTGATAAGAAGCATCATCTGAAATATGTATAAACAAATCTCAGTAAAATCATATCATGGTAATTATGAAATACCATTAAGAAGAAAATTGAAGAAATCCTACTCTTCGATGCTTGGCAAGACTCAAAACACGAAAATGTTGGGGGATGATTGTAACAAGATGGCCCAGTCCACGCGGGACAAGCTCCTACAATGAGAAGTCTAAATAACTACACAAGGTGATGAACATTTGGAGATGGATGTTAGCTAATATATGGCTCAACACGGCTTCTACCATCTAAATTTACGACATGGGATATACAGTGGTCATCATTTGTGTAGTTACCCAAGTATTCCTTTTGGAAACTAGGCGCACATAGGCAAATCAGGTTCGTTATAGATGATATCAGAGTGAGACCCCTTGAATAGATGCATGGCTCGTGGATGGACTAGGCCCATACCCGATTCGACGAGGGTGAGGAATGATCCTTCGGACAAGAGGGACTGAACAAGGTGTGAATCCTAATAGGGTTCTAGAATGGCAGTGGACAACAATAGACTGGGCAACACATCGAATAGGGACGATATCGATGGGCTAGCACTGTCGAGGACATCAGTTCCAAAATTTCTTAAAAAAAGGAAAGATAAAATAAAGAAGAGGAAATGACTATTCTGGACATACACACGGATGGCGTGCTGTAAACTCGGGAGGGGATCAAGGAATTCCCTAGTTTTCCCCTTCCCTTTTATTAACTAGGGTTGGCATTTTCCATTTTCACGCAGCTAATATAGATAGGGAGAGAGAGAGGAGTACGAGAAGGCAGCTTGGGGGCACTCTAACCTCGCCCAAAGTAAAACATTGGGTAACGTTGGTAAATCGTCCTTTCCCTGGTGGGTGGTGGGACTCGACCAAAACCACTGCATTTGCTCTGCTTTTACTCTGTTTCGGCAAATCATCTGCTCTGCCTTCGCTGGCGGTGCTCAGGCAAATTTCCGGCTACACCCATGACATGAGAAGATACTTGGGTGGTACTTTCCAACACGACACTAAAACGCAACTCGAACACCAAATGACACTCCAACTTAACTTAAACCTGACACGAACTCATATTTAATAAAAACATCTCGTTTTTATGTTGAAAATTTTTTTGTGACGACACGAATAATCGACTAGAACATGATACGCAAACTCAAATTGACATCCCTTACAGACACTTCCCCTCGCCATGAGTCAGTAGGACCCTTGTTTTTTTGGTCGAAAGAGTCAGCAGGACTTGATGGGCACGATTCTGAGGTTTTGTTCGAA